AGACCCCTCTGATACCAAATGTAAACTCCTAAATTTAGACTTCTCGGGAGGTCACCCATCTCAGTATTATTCAAACTCAAGGACGTTTAACCCTAAGTATCCCAAGACCCTTAACCGATTGGAATGTTCCTCTAGATCCCGGCCCGTCTACAAGAGAACTCTGATGGTCTTCCATATCCCGGCTCGTCTACAGAGAACTCTAATGGTCTTCCATTATTCCAAGAGGAGGGGATGATGTGAGGGCCAAGTGTATGGTTACGATGCCATATACTAATATTAGTATAATGGGATTTTGGCAACCGTCAGATTAGTTTCAATCCGGACCATTCGCTCCTATATATAAGCTAGGGTTTTTGGGCTAATTGATATGCATATTTCTGTATTCCCTTTTTATATTCCATGCACTCACAATGCAAAGCTCTCAAATACAATTATCTTTTTTTATTAGGAATATTGAATAATTATATTCTGTATTAAATACTTAATATAACCTAAATAATATATATATTATTACTAATGTGAACGTTGTCAGCTATCAAAGCTGAGGGTTTCATTGTAAGAGTATGAACATGAAATGAAGCAAATCTTAGCACAAACACCAAACTACCTAAATTGGAGCACTTAGCATGGAGCAACAACAGATTTACACATGGATTGAACCAAAAAAAGAGGTTGCACACTAAATGGAATGAAGATAGAGACTTGGCAATAAAAGAACAAAAAAAAAAAAAAAAAAAAAAAAAAAGTTGTTTATTTCTTAGTAAAAAGACTTTAGTCTAGCAATGAGAAAAACTAAAAGGTTTCCCTACACATAACTATCCTTTATGTTGCAGTGACTTATCTCTAAAACAAAGCATAAAATTTGGTTTACTTAAATCAACTAAACCAACTTAAAAGACAGTGAAACTCTTATTATAATAATTTACTTGTAGCAATGTTTGGTTTGCTTAATAATAGTGTCATTTTTATTTATTATTTTTGAATAATTCAATTGATCGATAATTATAAATATGTTTATAATTTATAAATCAAGATTAATATTATTACATATCAACCATCAATATAAATAAGAATATATTAGAAAATGTTTAAGAAATTTTATAAAAATATAAAAATGTTTATAAATTATAAATACAAAAATAATCTAAATAAATAACAACCGTTAAATGGTAAAATATCCTAAAATATCTAAGTATATTCTAAATATATTCACGACCTTTTAAGCAAACCAAAAAGAGCTCGCACTCAATCCACTCCACATTTGCCATCGATCTGTACACCAAGTGTAGCCATCTGGAGACACAAAACACTGTCTCTTGGATTGCCTGCTAAACTGTTCTCCCATGGCTGTCTCAAAAAACCAGTGGAGAGTGAAGCAGAGAGGCTGGCAATGAAAGAGAAGACAAGGATCGAAAGGCATGGTCACTAAGTCAAGACCCCTAGGTGAACCCATCCCTACAGCCATCACTGAGGAGAGAAAAGAAAGAATGAATCCACCTGATGCTCACCAAATAGGCAAAGAAGCCATGCACGGAGAATGCTGTCCTGGAAGGAACACCCGCAACCTAACTGCCCAAAAGATTTACGGCAAGGGGCTGCCTTGTTCACAATTCTCGAGGAGCAGCGGCAGGAATGTGGTTAAAAAGAAGATTTATCCCTCGCAAGTTTTCCAGGAGCAAAGGGAAAAACAGCTGTTGCTCCAGCCCCCTCGGCCACGCCCAAACATCACAAAAAAATTTCCATGAGCACACAAACTAGGAAAACGATTTTTACCCAGTTACCTCCCATCCCAGGCTGTGCTGCCTCAAACATCAGGGAAATATTTCCCTCCCCCAGGCCTGAGATCGGACGGCTGCGGCAGGTTGGGCAACTGGTTGTGGATGGATAACTACTTTACTAATTGGTTATTAACTCCGGTGGAGCTTGGCGATCAAAGCATAAGCAAAAGCATCGTCCTGGCCTTTAGCCAAGAGCCTCTCAAACACCACATCTCCCACTTCCACATTCTTCCATCTCTCACAACCAGCAAGAAGGATCCTCCAAGTGATTGCATCGCCATCCTCACTCAAAGCCAACGAGCTCGCAAGCTCCACAGCAGTCTCCATCGCCTCGGAGTCGGCCCTCGCTAACATATCGATCACGCAGTGGACGTGCTCCACGCCCCAGCAGCTCATGGAATCGAAGAACCTCTTGCCTTGCTCCACACGGCCACAGTGATTGTAGGCCGTCAAGAGGCACAGGCAAGTGATCCCATCGGCTGGGAATCCCTCCTCCCGCATCCTCCCAAAGCTTTCAAGCACCTGTTCGATCTCTCCCACCCGGCTGTAAGCTCCCAGCAGCGAGTTCCAAGCCGCAGTGCTCCTGGCCGCCATGGAATCAAAGACGTGCTGGCTGCTGGAGGAGCTCCCGCATTTACCATACATGTCCACCAGCGAGCTCGTCACGGCACCATCGCTCTCCAGCCCGGCTCTACACGCCTGGGAGTGAGCTCTCCTTCCAAGCTCCACGTCCACCAGGCTCCCACATGACTTGAGCGCTGCTGTGAGGCTTGCGGCGTCCACTGCGAATCCACCGCGAGCAAACAGCTCCAGAGCCAGCGCCTCATCGCCATTCTCGGAGCACCCCAGTATCAGCGACGTCCACGACACGACGCTGTGGCGAGCCATCCTGTCGAAAGCTTGCCGAGAATCCACCAGGCTTCCACACTTTGCATACATGTCCACCAGACTGTTGCCGAGTGAAAGCTCCCGGTCCCACGAAACCCCGTCGGCGATCATACGAGCGTGAACCGCCATGCCGCCTTCCAGAGCCTCGGCCTTGATCAGTCTCCTTCCATTCACCACTCTCGCCTCTTCCTTGATCGCTAGCCTCGTGGAAGCCTTCAAAGCCGCTAGATACGTGAGACAGTCGAGGCTGGCTTGCGCTGGGAGTTGCTTGAACAGCTCCAAGGCCGAGTCTGGCTTGTCGTTTTCCGTGTAGCCGAGCATCAGCGCGTTGCAAAGTCCAGCGTCGAAGCAAGGCACCCTGTCAAAGATCTGCTGAGCGTCCTCCGTGCTGCCACACTTGGAGTAAAACTCCACCAGCGTGCCCGCCAAGTAGATATCACCGAGCTTCTTCCCTGTCTGCCAGTGTAAGGCTCTGCCTTTTTCTAGCGAGCTCGTCTTCAACCCCTCTGGATTCTTCTCTTCATTCGCAGCAAGCCGAGACCAGGCCATGAGCGCAGCAACGTAGCTCTGAGCATCGGGTGTGAAGCCACCTTGCGTTTGCATGCGAGCAAACACGTCCAGAGTCAGCTCCGCCTCTCGGTTGGCGACACACCCGAGCATGAGCTTGTTCCAGGACTGTAGATTGCGAGCAGGAATCACTTCAAACACCCTGTGTGCGCTGGCCAAGCTCCCGCACTTGGAGTACATATCGATCAGGCCGTTTGCCACCAAAGTATCCTGGTCGCATCCACTGGCTTTCCCCAGGGAATGAATGGCAACTCCCGTATCCAAAGCCCCGACTTTCACGACTGCTCCATCTGATTCAACTGCCTCCTCCTTTGCTGCTAGAGCACAGCATGCGTTGAGCGCCTGTACAAAAGCTGGAGTGTTTCTCCTGCCTCGTTCTTCTCCTCCTTGCTGCATCCGGAAAAACATTGCCAGCGCCGCTTCTGCCTCCCCATTTTCGACGTGAGCAGATATCAGTCCAGTCCACGAGACGATATCCGGGGACTGCATCCTCTCAAAAACCTTGCGAGAATCCACCGGGCTCCCACACTTGCCATACATGGTAATGAGGACGCTGGCCACGAAAACATCGGTGTCACATCCACTTCTCGCGGCCCTGGAGTGAACAGCCATTCCCTTGTCGAGTGCACATAGCTTGACAAGCTTGCCAGAGACGTCCACGCCTTGCTCCTTCACTGCCAAGCCTGTGCAAGCCTTTGCTGCCGCAGCATAAGTCTGTGCGTCCGGCTCGACTTCCATGCGAGAGAGAAGCTCCAGCGCTCGTCCTTCCTGTCCACTTTCGGTATAGGCCATCAGCAACGCTGTCCAAGACACGATATCACGGACTGGCATGCTGTCGAAGACCCCCTGGGCGTCTTCCCCACTCCCACACTTCGCGTACATATCAACCAGAGCGTTCAAGGCGAAGTTGTCAAGCTCGCAACCCCGAGTTACCGCTTCCAAGTGAAGAGCCCTGCCTTTCTCCAGAGTCAACCACCTTCCACTAAGAGAGTCTCCATTCTTCACTGCCAGACTACCGCAAGCCTTGAACACTGCTCCGAAAGTCCGTGCCTCTGGCTTGCAACTTCCAGACTCGATCATCCACTGGAACAAGTCTAGAGCTTGATCTTGGTCGCCAACTTCCACGTATCCCAGCAGCAGTGAGTTCCAGGACACGATGCTATGGCAAGGCATCCTCTCGAAAACCCGTCGTGCATCGGGCATGCTCCCACACCTCGCATAGGAATCCACCAGAGTGTTGAAGACGATGACGTTGAGAGAGCAGTAGGCACCTAGAAGAGCCTTGGAGTGGACGCTCTTCACACTTTCTAGAGCTCTCGCCTTGACGAACTTGCCATTTCCATCGATGCTTGGAGTGGACTCTTCCCTGGCGGCGATGCTGGAGCATGCCTTGAGCGCAGCTACAAAGGACCGGCCATCGAAAGCGCGGCCCTGGCCATGGAGCCGCGAGAAGAAATCGTCGAGAACCAGCTCACCTTGCCCATTCTCGGCATAGCCGAGCATCAGGGAATTCCAGGACGCGGTGTCGTGGCAGGGCAGCCTGTCGAAGACGGATCGAGCGTCGGCCGTGCTCCCACACCTCGCGTACATCGTGATGAGGCTGCTCGCCACGAAAATGTCGAGCGCCTGGCCGCTCTCGACGGCCGCAGCGTGGATCTTCTTCCCGGCACTCAAATCTCTCGCGGCGCCGCATTCTTTCAGTGCAGCAAGGAATCGTTGTCGGGACAGCGCTGGATGAAGAACCCTAAAATCTGGCAAGATTTCTCGATGAGGGTTCTAGGGTTCCTCGATGGCTCTCGTCGCTCGAAGAGTCTTGCGATTGCGCAGCTATTCCAGATCCTTGCCTCGTCTCGCAGCGCCCGCATTAGAGCAGCATTGCGAGCAATCTCGCAGAGCGACGATTGCCGGGAATTCCTGGCGGCATTCCGAGAGGAGAGCTCTTCTTCTTCTCCCCCCTTTCCCTTCCAGAGGATTCAGGCGTGTGAGATTTCGGCTCGTGAAGGCCGACAAGGACGATCCGGAAGAGGAGGAACCGGATGGGATTGCGGAGGAGGATGATTTCGCGGATACCATCGATCTCACGCTCGTCCAGAAGCGCCAGGCCGAGAGGCTGTGGAACGAGCTTCTGCCACTCACGATTCCCAGCGTTGGACCCGTGGTGAAGCTCACGATTGGAGAGGACAGGAAGATCGGCCTTCCAGGAATCTTATACGTCGTTGGAAAGCTTCGAACGTTCCGGCGTTCTAAGCAAGCACTGTCGGTAAGTTCGCTTCTATCTTTCTTTCCATCTTTTCTTCTAATGCGATCGATGGTTTCTTTCTTCGATCGATCGGCAGATTCTCGACTGGCTCGCGGAAGAAAAACCATTCGGGGAATTCGACGAGAGTCTCTACAAGCTGCACATATCGATCGCGTTCGAGGTAAACTCAGTCCACAAAGCCGAGAAGATTTTCGAGAGCGTACCGAAAGAGCTCCAGCTCCAGGAGAAGTTGCTTGGTGCCATGGCCGCTGGCTATGCCTCCGCGCACAGGATGGACAAGGTGGAAGAGATCTTGCTCCAGTGCAATCTCTCCGCCATGGAACCTTACACTGCACTGATCAAACTCTACTTTAGAGTCGCTCTCTACGACAAAGCAGCGAGTCTGTACAAACGAATCAAAGCGGCAAAGCTCGAGCCAGACCTGGCAGCCTTCGCGGCACTGCTGCGAGAGAAGTCCAGCTTGGAGAGCTTGAAGCCGAGAGAGCTGGAAGAGGACGCCGAGGTGGCTCTCCACCATGCAGGAGCTTACGAGGAGGAATTGACGATCAAAGCCCCGGTTGCAAGCCAAGCGATGGTGGTCTCTGGCTACCTTGGAAAAGCGGCACAAGTTACCAAGTTGTGGAAACGTATCAAGCAGGAGAAGAGCTCGTCCATACCAGCGGTGTGCTACTTGAACGCGATCGAAGCGTTTGGAGCAGCAGGCAAGGTCCGATCGGCTGAGAAGGTGGCCGACGAGATGGAGATGGCGAAGTCCAAGTACGTAGAGCTCTCGGCAGCTATGATCTGCGTCTACTCGAGGAACCAAATGGCGGACAAGGCCGAGGCCGTCATCGATGACTTGCGTGCCAACGGTGTGTGGAACTTGTTCCGGCCTCACGCCGAGCTCATCACCGGTTACCTCGACAGCAACCAGCCCGACCAAGCGATGAAAGCTCTCAAGGTGGCACTTCTCGTCAAGCTGATGAAGCCAACGTACGCCGTGATCCTGAAAATGCTGCCCGTCTTTGAGAGGCTTCGCGATGCCGAGGGTGCCGAGGACATGGTGATGAGGTACAAAGGCGCCACGGACCTCCGGATGTACAAGGGACTGCTCAGGATCTACGTGAGTGCCAAGGTGAAGCCCCTGGAAGAGATAGAAGCCCGGCTCATGCTGAAGAAGATCCCTCTCGACGACGAGACTCGCGAGCTGCTGACGAAGCTGAGAGGAGTCATCGGTTGAGATTCACTGCGCAGCAGCCTCGGCTCGGAACGAGCGAAAACATCAGACAACGAGCAAGCCCGACTGCTTCCGGTAGCTCTCTTAAGCCTGGTGAGCCGCTCGGTCTCCACTAGCTGATTCTGGACGTGTTTGCTCCCAGGTGGCTTCACACCCGATGGTTAAAGCTACGTCGCTGCGCTCAAGGCCTGGTCTCGCCTAGCTGCGAATGAACAGAAGCATCCAGAGGGGTTGAAGGCGAGCTCACTAGAGAACGGCAGAGCTTTACACGGGCAGGCAGGGAAGAAACTCGGTGATATCTACTTGGCGGGCACGCTGGTGAATTTTTACTCCAAGTGTGGCAGGGTGCCTTGCTTCGACGCTGGACTTTGCAACACGCTGCTACTCGGCTACACAGAGAACGACAAGCCAGACTCGGCCTTGGAGCTGTTCAAGCAACCCCCAGCGCAAGCTGTTCAAGCAACTCCCAGCGCAAGCCAGCCTCGACTGCCTCACTTATCTAGCTGCTGTGACGGCTTCCAGGAGGATAGCGGAGCCGAGAGTGGTGAATGGAAGAAGACCACTCAAGGCCCGACGCTCGCCGACGGGGTTTCATGGGACCGGGACGTGTGGAAGCCCGGTGGATTCTCGGCAAGCTTTCGGCAGGATGGCTCGGCACAGCGTCATGTCGTGGACGTCGCTGATGCTGCGATGCTCCGAGAATGGCGACGCGGAGCTGGCTCTGGAGCTCTTTGCTCGCGGTGGATTCACAGTGGACGCTGCAAGCCTCACCGCGGCTTAGATGCGCATTAGATACAGCTTCTACGTGGTTTATACGGTTACCGTTTTCGACGTCTCTAGAGTTTCGACGTGAAACTGGTTCACGTAGAAAATGTGTAGATCGATTTGCCTTCCTTACCAATGAGATCCACGACTGTGAATTCCACGTCCCACAGAGGCATGACACATTTGACCAGCAAAGCGCTCGTTGAGTACCATCTTCGGATTTCCGGACTTCACCAAATGGTGATAGCTGAGACTATCACGGTCACGCTGATTACGTAGCGGCTTACAACAGTTTACTCGAGGCGCCTCAGGTCCTCTTCCAGTCCTCTCACCATTTGTGTTGCTGATTTGTTTGTAGAGGCTTGCAGAGTTTGATATCGCAAGCAACCAGCACGATATCAAACTAGAGCGATGAAAGCTCTCAAGGTGGCACAAGCCAACTTATGCAACGATCCTGAAAATGCTGCTCGTCTTTGAGAGGCTTCGCGAATGGGGATGGCGTCACGGACCTCCCAATGTACAAGGGACTGCTCAGGATCAACGTGAGCAGCAGGATCTCGACGAGGAGACTCGCGAGCTGCTGACGAAGCTGAGGGGAGTCAGGTGGTCGAGTCGATTCACTGCGCAGCAGCTTCGGAACGAGCGAAAACGTCAGACAGGAGCACGAGCAAGCCCGACTGCTTCCGGTATCTCTCGTAAGCCTGGTGAGCTGCTCGAGTTCCACGCTCGGCATCGGCCTGGTTTCTGCAAGCTCCTAGCAAGGCCAGCCATCCAAGCGGCCCTCGTTCGGCTGGAATGCTGTGAACCAAGTCCTCTGCTTCGAAAACTCGGCCGGCCCGTCCCAGCACATCCACCATGCAGACGTAGTGCTCCGCTGCCGGTTCTATGCCGTAGTCCGGGAGCATCGAAGTGAAAGAGGTCCAACCTTGGTCGAGGAGGCCTCCATAGCTACAGGCGACGAGGATGCAGCCGAAAGTCACCGAGTTCGGCAGCACGCCGTCCAAGTCCATCTTCCGGGACAGCTCCAGAGCTTCCATGGAGTGCCCCTGCTGTGCGTACGCTGCTACCAGCGTCGTCCACGTTATCACGCTCTTGAACTTCATCTCCTCGAACACGCTCCTGGCTTCCTCGAGTCGTCCACACTTGCCGTAGAGGTTCAAGAGCGTGTTTTGGACGACGAAGTCGGGCTTCCTGATACGAGAGTGAATCGCCCTGCCCTGCGCGAGCATCCCTTCGTTGGAGCACGCCGTGATGACAGTGGCGAAGGTGACGTTGTTTGGCACCACGCCTTCCAAGTCCATCTTCCGGAACAGAAGCACGGCTTGTCTCCCTTCGTCGTGCTGTGTATACGCAGAGATCATGGCTGTCCAAGAGATCACGTTTTTTCTTTGCATCCGATCGAAAACTTCCTTGGCCTCGACCAACCTGTGGCATCTGGTATACATGTCGATCAGCGCATTCTGGATAGCATTGTTGCTGGAGTGAGTACCTGACGAGACGATCGCCTTGTGAATCTCTCTCCCTTCTTCGTAGCTGGAACAGGCACTGAGAACGCTCGAGAAGGTGTACTCGTCCGGCTTCACCCCTTCCGGCTCCATTCTGTGGTATAGTTCCAGAGCCAAGCGGCTCTCACCACGCTGAGCGTACGCAGATACCATAGAGTTCCACGACACCACGTCCTTCCGCGGAATAGCATCAAACGCAGCTCGAGCATCGTTCAAGTTCCCACACTTGGCATACATGTTGACGACTGCGTTGTGGAGGCAAACGTCGTCTCCAAGCTCCGCGGCCGCTGCTAAGATCTGTGAGTGGATCACCCGGCCATCAGAGAGAGCTTTGAGCTCCGAGCACGCGCCCAAGATCACCAAGTACGTGTATCTGCTCGGCTTCACGTCCATCGCTTTGAAAGCACCAAGTGCCTGCCTGGGATGCCCGTTCTGGGCATACGCGGCTATCAGGACAGTCCACGAGAAGGCGTTCTTTCTGCCCAGGCCATCAAACACGACCCTTGCCTTGTCGATGCCCCCGTGCTTGCCATACGCCTGGACCAGGACGTCCCCAAGAACCACACTCTGTCCATAGCCATCTCTCACGATCTCGGCGTGCCTGTCGCATACCTCTTTGACGCTTCCGGACCTTCTCAGCGATGAAACATAGCTTTCCTCCTGGATTTTTCTCTCCACCACCGTAGCCACGTCGTGATGGCGATGCCGAGCCAGAGATCTCCCGAGAGCAAAGCTCCGGTTCTTCACGAAGAACATCACCACAGCCGATCCATCGCGACGAACTTTCTGCTAAGCTGGTCGATTGGAAGGAATGAGCTGATTGTCCGCGCATAGCTTGGGAATCGGCCTCATCTTGTTGAGAAGCTCGAACGTTCTCGCATTCGGTGCCACTTTGTCTGTTGCCATGCGCTGCAAGAACCGGTACGCATGCTTGCCGGCGTTCACGTATGCCTCGAGCAAACTGTTGTAAGCCGCTACGTTCTTGTTGTATGATTCCCTCCTCATGTCCTGGAAGAGAAGCTCCGCGCTGTTCACGTCGGCGTTTTTCGCGTGTTCTTTCAGGATGAGCATCACGGTATCGAAGCACGGCGGGACGCGCTCCTCGAACATCCTGGTGAGTGTCTCGGCTGCCATCTTCGGATTCCCAGACTTCATGTATCCCGCAACCAAATGGTGATAGCTGAGATTGTTGATATGCCCGTTTCCATGCCGGATTCTCTCGAGCAGCTTTTCGGCCTTTCCCATCTCACCACCTTCACAGTACGCACGAAACAATGGGACGTAGTGCGCCGGTCTCAACAGAGTTCTCTTCTCGGTCAGCTCCGCAAACACCTTCTCGGCCCTGTCGATCCGTCCCACTTTCTCGTAAGCTGCTATAGTAGCAACATAGCTGTTTGCCGAGACCACTGGAAACCTTCGCGTGAATCTCCATATCCTGTCGATCATATCGGCTCTTCCCATCGCAGCGTAGAGTGCTATCACCTTATCGTGAACTCTCCGGCTCTCTCGAAACTCGTCGCTGGCCACTGCCTCTTTCAAGTATGCCATAGCTTTCTCGTGATCACCAGCGTTCACGTATCCCGACGCGAGCGTGCAAAGTATCTCGCCGTTTGGAGTTCCATCTCCATCGCACTTCATCTTGCTGAAGAGTCTTTCCATGCCTTCGGTGTCGCCCTTCTTGGCCTTTATCCCAATGAGGATGTTGTAAGTCTCGACGTTTGGAGAGATGCGCATGTCTCTCATCTCCCTGAGAATCACTGGAATGCCGTCCTCTTTCTTCTTGTTGGCATAGAGATGAAAGAGCTTGTTAAACGCCGTGGCGGTGGTGAGGAGGTTCTTCTCCTTCATCAGCTTGAGCACCAGCCTTGCCTTTGAAAGGAGCGAGTGAATCACGTAGTTCTCGAACATGGTGATGAGAGCAGCCTCAGATTTGGCATAGACACGCGGCATTTTGGTAAGAAGGAAGTTCTTCGCAGCGTTCATGTTGACGACCCGTCCGGTAAGCTCCAAATGGTTGATGAAATGGAACTTTTGAAGCTCCAAACTTCTCTCTTTGATCACCCAGTCCGAGATCTGGAAGAACTCTATGTTAGAACTCTACTCGATCTTTCAAAGACAAAGAAGAGCTCTCTATCTACTCAAACTTCCCAAGAGCTCTCTAAGATATAGAATGAAACATACCTCGTAAGCTTGCTTGAATCTTCCAAGCCATTTTAGACGCTTCATAGCAGCAATGATCTCCCCGTGGCTCTCCCGGCCTTCCGCGATCCACTGATGCAAAATGTGTAGCACAGGCCCTCCTTTATCATCTTCGAGCCTCGCGACGAGAGAATTCGGGTCCACATTGTCCTCGTCGTCGCTCGGGGTGACTCTACTGGCATCGTAACGCAAATCATTCTCCTCAGTGCCCCAGTAGCGATCATGCTCGTCGCTCTTCCTGTTCCTCACAATGTCCTGTTTGGGCCTTCCTCTCAAATCCCTCGAGAAACTCAAGCTCCTCGCAAAATCCAGCACCTGCGCGATTCTCCTTCCAGGAGCCACGGAACAGCCTAGAATATCCTTTCCTTGCAGCGCATTCCTGGAGACGATCATCCATGCTCGCATTGCGCGGAGAATTCAGCGCCAGGAATCCATTTCCTTGCTTGCTCACAAACCCTAATAAAAAACCTAGCCAACGGTCAGATATGGGGCTTACGAAATCAACGGCTGGGATCGAAGATGGGAAGGGGTCAAAAGTTTTGCCCAAAACCCTTCGAAATATTTTGGGGCGGGACGGATGGGAAGAGGAGCTGGGAATCGCAATCTCAAATCGGCGATGCCGGGGGCGCTCGATCTCCCGGAGTCGATCATCGCGTCGATCCTCTCTCACACTTCTCCAGGTGATGTAGCAAGGCTAGCGCTCGTGAATCGAGCTTTCAGGGATGCCGGGCGCACGGACATCGTGTGGGAGCGAATGCTGCCGGTCGGCTACCACAGATTTCTCAAGCTCGCCATTTCTTCCATCGGCGGCGGTGGCAGTTCTTCCAAGCGGGAGCTGTACGAGCAGCTGTGTGGACACATTCTCATCGGAGACGGATCAGAGGTTCTTTCTCTTGGGAAAAATATTTGATCTAAGCAAGAATCCTAGTAAGAAGCGCTTTCTTTTGGTGATCCTCTCTGGCTCATAATTTTTTTTCTCGCTTTCTCCAGGGCTTATGGATCGATCGAGCTACTGCGGCTGTTTGCCACAGCTTTTCTTCGAGATCTTTGGCTGTGACTTGGGGAAGCACCGCGGAATACTGGGAATGGTCCTCAAAGCATGGCGCCAGGTACTTAAGTTCCATTCACGAAGGGTTTCTCTTCTCATAGATTTTTCTCGCTTCGCTACGACACAGATTTGACGAGGTGGCGCACCTCAAGATGGTTTGCTGGCTAGAGCTCTCTGGGAACTGGAAGTTGAGCCTAGCTCCAGGAACTTACACCGTCTCTTGGAGACTCCAGCTCGATTCCGACGCCTTTGGGTGGGATAAGGAGCCAGTGAGATTCAGCTTGGCAACTCTAGACGGAAGGGTGACGAACTCTTCGTGCTACCTGGTGGACTCCGAGGGGCAGGATCGAAGCAGTAGTGACGAGTCGGAAGAAGACGACGAGCCTGTCAGCATGGTTGCTCGAGCTCGGACGGTGGCGGACAATTGGGTGGAGTATGATGTGGGACAGATTGTCGTGGAGGACGAGGATGAATTGGGTGAAGTGGAGCTTTTCTTCTCGCTACAGGAGATCGTCAGTGGCACTTGGAAAGGTGGACTCTTTATTGACGGGGTCATTGTCCAGCCCAGTCACCTCATTGTGGAGTAGGGTTCTTGAGGGCGCTTCCATTCCAGGTTTGGGAACTTCTGTTCGTGGGTCTTTGGTCTTGAATTGTTCTGTGTTTTTCAAGGATCCAGCGCCATGGATAGCGGAGTTGCCGAAGGTGCGTGAATCTTCTTCTTTTTCCTTGAGCTAAGTGTTCTTACATGAGTGCTTCCAGGTGCTGGGAAAGTGTACATTGATGGCAACATGCTTGCCGTCAAGGCTCTTGCAGCAGCAGGAGTGGAGACCATGTACGGCGTCGTTGGCATTCCGGTGACCTCTCTCGCGACTTACGCCATGAAGGTTGGGATAAAGTTCATCGCTTTCCGGAATGAGCAATCAGCGGGATATGCAGCGTCAGCAGCTGGTTATCTGACTGGTAAACCGGGAGTTTTGCTCACAGTCTCGGGACCAGGTTGCGTGCACGGGCTTGCGGGTCTGAGCAATGCAATGATCAATACGTGGCCCCTGGTGATGATCTCTGGGTCCTGCACGCAGAAGGATATAGGGAAAGGTGACTTCCAGGAGCTTGATCAGATGGAAGCTGTGAAACCGTTTGTCAAATACTCGGGCAAGGCTAGCCAGATTTCTGAGGTTCCCGAGGTCGTATCTAAAGCTTTTCAAGTCGCTCTGGAAGACCAGCCGGGAGGGACATACATCGATCTTCCTTCCGACGTTCTTCATGAGAACATTTCCGTCGAGGAGGCCGAGAAGTTGCTTGCGGGGGTGAAGGCTGCGAAGCCGATGTTCTCTCGCGAGCTGGAGTGCCACTGTTCCGAGTCAGACATTCAGGAGGCGTTGTCTCTACTCCACAAAGCCGAGAAGCCGCTGGTGGTTTTCGGGAAAGGTGCAGCTTTAAGCCGTGCGGAAGGTGCGATCAAGCAGTTTGTAGAACGGTCAGGAATACCATTTCTAGCAACACCAATGGGCAAGGGAGTCATTTCGGACACGCACCATCTTTCTGCTGGGGCTGCTCGTTCGCTGGCACTCCGTGAGAGTGATGTTGCACTGGTAATTGGAGCTAGATTAAACTGGCTACTACACTTCGGCGAGCCTCCACAGTGGTCCGACTCCGTTAAGTTCATCTTGGTCAACACTTCTAAAGAGGAAATGGAACTACGACGCCCAGCTGTGAAACTCGTTGGCGATGCAAGGATGGTTATGACGGAACTAAACAAACAGTGGAAGGACTCTCCTTTCTCTCTAGGCGACAAGCATCCTTGGGTGGAGAAGTTGAAGAATAAAGCCAGTGACAGCGTCGAGAAGATGGCTGCGAGGCTGAAGCAGGACGTTGTTCCTTTCAACTTTTTGACTCCGTTGAGGATTATTCGCAATGCGATCTCGTCTTTAGGCTCGCCAACTCCTATCCTCGTCTCCGAGGGAGCGAACACCATGGATATAGGACGGACTGTCTTTCAACAGCTAGAGCCTCGAACGAGACTAGACGCTGGTACATGGGGAACGATGGGTATCGGGATGGGCTATTCAATTGCCGCTGCCGTGGAATCACCAGGGCGCTTAGTTGTTGCTGTCGAGGGAGACTCTGGCTTTGGCTTCAGTGGTTTCGAACTGGAGGTACGTCTTTTTTTTTCTTTACGTAGCATGGTTTCTTATGTTTTGGCTGCAGACAATAGTTCGATACAACCTCCCGATCGTGGTGATCATCTTTAACAACGATGGAGTGTATGGTGGCGATCGGAGGACTCCGGAAGACAAAGAGGGGCCACTCAAGGACTTCCCGGCACCGACGTCCTTCATTCCGTGCGCTCGCTATGACAAAGTGATGGAAGCGTTCGGTGGCAGTGGCTACTTTGTGAAAGAGCCCAAGGAGCTGGAGTCTGCAGTGAACGAGGCATTTGCAAGCAAGAAGCCAGCTCTGATCAACGTTAGAATCGATCCATTTGCCGGCTCGGAGAGCGGCAGAATGCATCACAAGAACTAAACCCGGCACAGGTTTGCGTGTCTAGTATTTTTCACTACTACTCTTTCCATGTAAAATAACAGGTTCCAGGGAATTCAGAGAGCCTCAGTTGCTTGGGCCTCAGACTTGTCCCCGGACTTCATCTTCCGGAGCTCACTGAAGAGGATATCAGTCTTCGCGTTCGGCCGTGCACCGTCCTGGAGCATCCTCTCAACGAATCCATACGCCGGTCTCTTGGCATTCACGTAAGCCAGCAGCAGCTTGTTATACACCGCATTGTTCACCCAGTAACCCGCCAGCTTCCAGTCCTCGAGGATCTGCTCGGCCCTCTCCACGTCCGGGATCGCAGCCAGAGCTCCGAGAACAAGCGTTAGAGAAGCAGGCAGCGGCCTCGACCTCGGGTTCCTGGTACCAGTCACCTGGGACTCCCTCAACCAAGTGATCGCTTCCTCGGTATTGCCAGCTTTGAGGTACATGTCGACGAGGTGGAAGTAGCACCAGGGATCCATCTGGACGCCGAGCTCCTCCTTCATCCTGCGCACCAGCTCTTCGGCCCGAGCAGTTAGCCCGAGGATGGAGTAGACGTACAACATGGCACTGAACATCGGGGAGCTGCCAAGTTTTCCCAGGCTCTCGGCGTCCTTGAACAGCCTCTCGGCCCTCTCGACTTCACCGAGCTTCCCCCACGACTTGATGACGCAGATGAAGTCCTGGCTGATCGGGTCCCCGAGCTTGAGCAGCTCCTTCCAGGCTCGCTGGACGCCGGCCGGGTTCTTGGCGGTGGCGTACATGGTGATGAGCGTGTTGTAGGCAGTCCGGAGCTTTGGAAACTGGCCGATCTCCATACCGTGCTCGATGGTCTGGAGGACTGCGAGAGCTTTGTCGAAGAGCTCGTCGCTGGCGTAGCAGCTCGCCATGGTCACGTAGGTGGAGATGTGAGCTTTCTCGCGCCGGCTCGACTTGATGCTTTGGAAGGCTTGCTCCGCGGACTCGATGCCTTCGACCTTGTACTTGGCGGACAGGAGGATGTTCTCGGAGCACATATCCAGCTGAATCCCGAGCTCCCGAGCTTCGTCCGCGAGATTGAGCACCTTCTCCTCGAGACCTCTCCGTCGGTAGAGCGTGGCCATCAAGTTGAAGGTGTAAGGGGTGGTGATCATCTTCTCGTCCCGGAGCTTTTCATAGACGACCTCGGCCTTGCGCAGCATCTTGGATTTGGTGTATGCCAGCAGCAGCGCGTTGTAAGCCTCCTCCTTCTTGTGCTCGTCGGGGAGCTTCTGGAAGATCCTCTCGGCCATTTGGAACCAGCCGCAGCGGCCGTGGAGCTCCACTCTGCGAATGTCGTCCTTGATCTCGTGAGGAACTGGCTTCTTCGCTGCCATCCAGTTCGCGATCTGTGCAACAAAGACGAGTTTGAGTTTGATATCATCCAGGAGGTAGCAAGGAAAAAACTTTCAGAGGGATGGAAGCTTGGAGGAACTTAGTCTGCAAGAACTTGGAAGCTCTTGATCACTATAGAAGCTTGGAAGAACTGGAATGAAGTGCGCAAAGAAAATCCAGGAGGTAGCAAGATCTTAGTAGGACGAGATCACTATAGAAGCTTGGAAGAACTCGAATGGAGGAGTGAGCAAAGAAAGAGGAGAAGAGCTTCCTACCTTGACGGCATGGACGTGGCGATTGCGCTTCTTGAGCTTGCGAATGACGAACAAGAAGGTGTGCTTGGTGGCCAGGTTTCCCTCCTTGATCCACTTCCTCACCTCGGGGACAACCAGCGAGACCTGTGTGCGCTTGAGCCTGGCGATGTTACTGGCGAGATGCGTCGCCGCCGGGTAATCCACATCGTCCCAGTAGTCATTCTCCTCGTACTGATCCTCCTCCTCCTGCTCCTCCTCGATCTCGTGAATCGACCGCGTGTCCAGCTCCGAATCGCTGCTCTCCTCCTGCTCCGCCAGCATCTCCTTGATCATGGACGATTCCGACTGGCAGCGCGTTGTGGCGATCCCGGAGATGGATCTTCTGGAGGGAGAAGAGAGGAGGAGAGGATAGACGTGGCACCTGCTTAAATTCGAGAATGCCGGTGGCCTCGCGATGACGTCGAGCGAATAGGAGCAAGAAATCGAAGAGAATGCCGCCATAGCTCGGCACACTCGCAATCCTCCACTGCTCATACCCATTTCAAGGTTTGGGGTTTATCTTCCCCAAGAACCCTAATTCACATTAAACAAAATATTTTCACAAATAAAGATTTTATTAGCCAAAGTAATTTTCATGGCATGGAGGTATAGCTCAGTGGTAGAGCAATCGGCTGCAGTCCGATAGGTCACCAGTTCGATCCTGGTTGCCTCCTAATAGTTTTTTGCGACTTTAAATTTAATTGGACTACTTTTTACTTTTTTACTGCAGGGTTTTAGGGATTAGGGTTTTTGCGATGAGAGGATGGATGCTGCTGCGACGGATTTCCCAGGCCGGGCAATGCAGCCTCTTGCGGCGCGATGCGAGCAGCGATCGATCGTTCTCCAGCATTCTTGCCGCCAGAGCGCATTCTTTCTCTGTTTCTAGCCGGAGCGCGGAGGAGCAGGATGATTTCTCCGATACCGACACCGGTTTTGCGCACAAGCTCGCCAAGCAGGCGGCTAAGATGGAATCTCCCAAGCTCGTGGATCTGTGTAACAAGATTGCGGCGCTGCGGCCAAGGGATTCCGGTCACGTAGTGCCGATGTTGAAGGAATGGGAAGAGGAAGGCAATGTGCTCGACAAGGAGATGCTTCGAGCGATCATGCTCAAGCTCCGGAAGTGGAAGCGTGGATCTCTCGCCCTCGAGGTACTGTACAAACAATGCGAATTCTTCCTTTGGTTCCTTCTTTTGTTTTCTCCCTTGTAATGTTGTGCTACCATTTTTTTTTCCCGGTGATTCTTTCGTTTCTCGAGTTTTTCTTCTATTATTCAAGAATTTCACTCCTTTTTTTCCTTGCCTTGATCGTTCTCCTCGTTCCTTTCTTGAGAAATTTCTTTCTTTCCAATGACGAATGCTCAAAAGTTTTTGGTTTTCCTAACTTTCTCACATTCAAACTCCACAGGTTGCCGATTGGATGTATTACACAAAACAGTTCCCGCAGGACCTGGACGACGTTATCCTCCGAATGGACATGGCTGTGCGTGCCAAAAAGATCCGGAGAGCTCAGAAGATTTTCAAGAAGCTTCAGGCGTGGGAAAAGACGACAGACGCGTACAACACGATGTTCTTGATCTTCTCCCAGCGTAAGATGATCCTCCATGCCGACGACTTCTACTACAAGTTTAAGGAGGCCAAGCTGAAGCCCAACGATATCACTTTCAGCATACTGGCTTGCCTCTACCGGCGGTGTGGCTTGCACAACAAGGTGGTGAGGCTCCAGGAAGATATCGAGGCAGCAGGCATGAAGCCGTGCGTTTGCTTCCTGAACAACTTGATGGTGTCCAAGTACGAGCTTCACGGGATTTCTTCGGCCGAAGAGATTTTCAACCAACTGGTTCCTGCGGGATCTGACCTCAAACGCTCGCACTTGTCTACGTACTCGATGATGGCTGCCTCGTATTTGTCCGCGGGAATGCACGACAAGGCCCAGAACTTGTTAGAGGTGATCGAGAAAGCCATGGACCAAGGCAGCTTTCCAAAGCTGCGGAGGACGTATCACATACTTATCTCCATGTACAGCACCATGAAGAATAGGGATGGTATGGAGAGAGTCTGGAAGAAGATCGAAGACTTGAAAGCGCAGGACTACGTTGCTATGATCGAATCTTGTGGTCGAGCAGACGAGGTTGGTTCTGCCGAGAAGTACTTCAAGGAGGCGGACAGGAAAGGCTTGCTCAACCAGCCATCCTTGTTTGCGGCACTCTTGGGCGTCTACGCTGGGAAAGGACAGGCAGACAAGGCCGAGAAGCTCTTCAAGAAGATGAAAGAACAGGATGTTTCCCGGGACGCGCTGTGCTACCACTACATCATTCTTGCCAACCTCAACGCCAAAAACATCGATCGCGCGGTGGAAATCTTGGAGCTAGCAGAGGCTGCTGGAATGCGGGATGGACGCTCGAGGCCATTCCTAGGAACGTTTTGTGACGTTCTCAAAACGATTGCCAAGGAGACAGGGGATGTAGCTCTGGCCGAGACATTGCTGGCGGACTGGAGGAAGGGAAAGTATAGAACCGACATCGCGGTCTACAATCATCTTCTTCGGGTCTACTTGAAAGCTGGGAAGCAAGTCCAAGGCCCCTTCCTCAAGAGACTGGCTGGGAACAACATGAAACCCACACGCGAAACTCACCAGCTGCTCCAGCAGCTCAGTGACGCTGGCGGAGAAGTCGTGACTGGCAACTATTATCTCTAGATTATCAGGTACATGGTTTACCTTTTCTTTCTTTTGGTGTGGGTCATTGTGAGCTGAGTTCTTTCTTGCAGGGAATGTTGGCTGCTGTCATCGTTGTTCCAGTTGCGACGACCTTCGTTGCAAATCCTTGGAGCAGAAATAGAGCCAGGTGTCCGGCTTTAGTTTCAGCTCCATGGCTGGCTGGGGCAGCAGCCAGCCGGACAGCTACACAGGTTTTGGGTTCGCAATACATCGCACAACAGGCTAGACAGCAGGAAGAGGAGGACGAAGAGGAATACGGTGCACAGGAAGAAGACTATGAGGATGTCGAGGACGAAGAAGATGCGGCCGATGAGCTGGGGAAGATTTACGAAAAGGATGAAGCCCGACTGGCTGGTGTAGATTTTAGCGCTGCCCAGCAGCTGTTGGAGGCTATTTGCGAGCTCAAAGACGAGCAATACATTCGCGTCCAGAGAATTGTGAGAGGATGGCTCAGGTCCAGAGACGTGGAAGTGGGGAAGCACGAGTTTGTATACGTGATGAGGCGACTGAGAAAGCGCAAGAGAGTCAAGCATGCACTAGAGGTACTGAGTGTTTCTATTTTTTTTCTTTGAAGATGGATTGTTTTCTTTTCTTTTCAGATTGCGGACTGGATGGCTCTCTCGAGACCAAGACCCTTCACTCTAACTACGAAGGACAATATTTTTCGAATGGACCTGGCGTCTCGCTGCGGATCTGTTGGCAAGGCCGAGAGGATCTTTGAGCGTCTTGCACCAGAGCACAGGTCCGAAGTTGCTTACAACGCTCTTCTTCTCAGCTACACCAAGAAAAAAAAACGGGGACGGGCCGAGAGACTTTTCAAAGAACTCAAAGCCACTGGTACCATCTCGTCATGCTACAGCCTGAACCTCCTGGCTTCGATGTATCGCCAGCTCGGCCTAGACGCGGAAGTTCTTATGCTGGCAAAGGAAGCACAGAAGCTGGGAGTTGAGCTCGATATGTGCTTCTACAACCTCCTCCTTCCAGCAAAGTTTAGAGTCCAGGGCCTGGAAGAAGTTGAGAAGCTCTACGCTACAATCACTTCTCCCAGGGACAGGACACGGTTCTTCACTTGCCTGGCCATGGCAAACATCTACGTCTCGGCTGGGAGGAACGACAAAGTGCTAGAGATGCTGGAGCTGATCGACCAAGGAATGGAAGCAGGGACGATAGTAAAGCAGCGCAGGAGATACAACGTCCTCATTTCCATGTACGCTTCTCTCGAAGACGGTGCTCGGGTGGAGAGGACGTGGGAGAGGCTTAAGCAGCAGCGACAGCCAAACACCGAGGACTACTGCTGCATCATCCGAGCCTGGGGCAAGCTTGGACACGTCGTCAGGGCCGAGACGATCTTCCAGGTAGCCGAAGCCAACGAGAAGAGCCTCAAGTACTCGACGGTGTTTAACGCCATGATGTTCGTCTACTCGGTCGCGGGGATGCGCGAAGAGGCCGAGGGGCTGGTCCAGAGGATGGAGTACGAGCTGGGTGTGAAGCTGGATCCGTGGTGCTACCACCATCTAGTGCTGCTCTACGCCAAGGCCGGAGACATCGGAAAGATGCTATCGACTTTGAGAGCTGCTCAAGCCGGTGGGAAGAAAGAGCGGCGATTCACGCCGCTGGCGGCTACTCTGTGGGCTGCTCTCAACACTCTGGCGGATGCCGGGGACGTGGATACCGCCGAGGAGACGCTGACGAGGTGGAAGAGGTCGGGCTACCGGGTTACCACGGGGTTGTATAACAGGCTACTCAGGGCACACTTGGTTGCGGCCAGGCCAACGGAGAGATTCGTGGAGAGGATGCTTGTGGATGGAGTCGTGCCCAATGGTGAGACGGAGAAGCTGTTCAACGAGCTCAAGGTGAAACTATCGTAAGCATCGTATCAAATTTACATGGTGAAGGAGTGATGGAACAGAATGTTAGCGAAGAACTTTGGTGGTGGAGATCCAAGTGTTGCGAAGAACGCAAAAAATGGAAATACAATTTAGAGAATGAGAGAACAAGGAGGCCTTGTTCTTCATCTCTATATGGAAGAACACCTTAAATTCTTCTTAACTAGAATATTCAAGCATATTCTACATAAGGGGTTTAGGGTTTATCACTGTGAGAAGAATATTCTCGGAATATCCCCCTAGTTGAAAACTTCTAGCTTCTTGAGAAGTTTGTGAGTAGTCTCGTTGGGCTCCAGCTTGGCCTCCTTGATGCGATTCTCGATCCCCCAAGCCGGCTTCTGGCACCTCCGGTACACCTTGAGCAGCGCATTGAAGAGCCTGATATCGTAAGGATAGTGCTTCGTCTTGAGCACCTTCTCCACCATCTCCTCGGCTTTCTCCAGCTCCTTCTTCCCGGCGTAGGCCTCCAGCAGCGTCAGCACCGTGACGAAGAGTGGATTCTTGAAGCCTTTGGCCAGGCCTTTCTCCTCCGCCTCGCTAAACTTCTCCGTGGCCTTGACGAACTGGTGCCTGTTCACGTAGCCGGACACCAGGTAGTGGTAGCCCTTGAATCCCAGCTTGTACCGCAGCTCCTCCATCTTCTTGGCCGTTCTCTCAGCGTCGTTCATGAGGCCGTTCATGCAGTAGACTTTGAGCATCGTGAAGCACTGCCTCTCCGAGAGCTTCTGATTTTGAGCTTCCAGTTGCTTGCAAATCTCCTCGAACTGCTTCATCTCGCCGTTCATGCCGAAGGACTCGATCGCCGCCAGGAAGTAGGACTCGGGCATGTACTCGGCCACTCGCTTCTGCTCCCTCCAGAGCCTCTCCACGTCCTTCTTCTTTCCCATGGCACCGTAGAGCCGGATCAGGTTCCTCCACTCGAAGCCTGTTGGTATCTTGTCCACGTCCAGGAAGAACTCCTCGATCGTGTCCTCCAGATCGTCCATCCCGAGCGCGTCCCGGCTCTTCAGCAGGTTCAAGTACGTGAAGGCGTCGGGAGCGACGTTGGACTTGTCCTTGAGCTCCGCAAACATCTCCTTGGCCTCGTCGATTAGGCCCATCCGGAGGTACATGGCGATGACGAGGTTGTAAGAGTAGGGATTGGTGATGAGAACCAGCTCCTTCATCTGCTTCAAGACGTCTAGAGCTCTTTCTTTCCTGTGGGCCGTCGCAAAGGCCTGGAGGAGCAGGACGTAGCACGTCTCAGTCTTGTCCTGGATCCGGTTGAAGCAAGTCAGCACTTTGTCCACCTTCAGCTCTCGAGTGTGGAAATCCATCCGGACCAAGTGATCGAAGTCCGTCAGCTGGAATGGCTTCTCCACGATGACCCAGTTCATGAGCTGGAAGGAAAAGAAAAACGTAAGAACGAAGCGAGAAGAAAACAAAGTTGGATCGAGCAAAGAGAGCGGAGAAAACAAAGCTGGATCGAACAAAGAGAGGAGGAAAGCAAAGTTGGATCAACCAGAGAAAGGGGAGAAAACAAAGTTGGATCGAGCAAAGCGAGCGGAAAGTTGAATAGAGGAAAGAGAGGAAAAAACAAAGCTGGCTAGAGCAAAGAGAGAGGAGAAACCAAAGTTGGATCAAGCGGAGAGAGGAGAAAATAAAGTCGGATCGTGCAAAGAGTGGAGATAACAAAGTTTGAAGCAAAGACTGAACAGAACACAAAGTTGGATCGAGCAAAGAGAGAGAGGAAAAACCAAAGTTGGATCAAGCGAAGAGAGGAGAAAATAAAGTCAGATCGTGCAAAGAGAGGAGATAAGAAAGTTTGAAGCAAAGACTGAAAAGAAAACACAGTTGGATCGAGCAAAGAGAAAGAGAGAGAGAGAGGAGAAACCAAAGTTGGATCGAGCAAATAGAGAGAGACAGAGAGAGGAGAAACCAAAGTTGGATCGAGAAAGAGAGAGGGAACTTACTTTCATTCCTTGGAAGTAGAACATCCGAGCGTGGAGCCGGATGATGAGCTTGTAGATCACATCCCTTGTGACGAGATTGCCTTCGCTTTGCCAATCCTTGAGCGCTGCAACGATGTCTCTATAGTTGCTTGGCTCGGCCTTCTTCCAAATCGCGTCTATGTGAGACTGTAGTGTGCCGCTCGACGGTGGGATGGGAATCAGCGGCATCCGTGGCTCCCGCATTTCGTGCTCCACGAAGAATTTCTCCAGGGAGCGATCGTCCAGGGGTAGGACATGGAGCGCTCGCGTTCCTGGCGCTAGCACTAGCGCTGCTGGGGAGAAAATCCAGTGCCGGTTCACTGGCGCGATCGATCGAGCCGGGACAGCGACTCTTGCTCCAGAGCTAGACAATGCTGGTCCTGGCACCGCGATTGCGCTCGCGAAATGCCGCCTGTAGAAGAGAGGAGCTAGAGAGAATGCGAATGCAAGACGAGGAGGACGTACCATCGCCGCGCTTGGCGTCCCAGCCGATGCATCGCTGATAAACCCTAAACCCGGCAGGATTTTAGGGTTCTTGGGAGGAATGGGAGCAGGAAGAGCGACGCTGCGTATCGCCAGGGCCGCGAGGTAAGGCACCGATCACTGGTATGAGAATGTAACTCGCTCACTTGCTCCTCCAGATTTCTTCTCAGGCCGGCGGCGAGCACGGCTATCGCTCGACCAAGAGCGGCATTCTCGTTTCTTGGCGAAAGGAATGTGGAGACAGTAGCCAGGGGTTGGATGAGCTCTGGATTCTATCTCCAGCAGCAGCGGCATTACACCGACGATGTGGAGTTCCAGGATGCTGGGGACGATCTCGTGGTTTACGATCCAAGGGCGTCGCGGAGGGCGCAAGGAAGCGGTGACGCTCTTGAGGACCTGTGGGCAAAAGTGGATTACTCACAGGATGCAGTGTTGGGGATCAAGCAGTGGGAGAGATCCGGCAACAAGCTCACGAGATCGATGCTCGCTATGCTTCTTCAAAGAATGAGGTGCCGACGAATGCACACCAAGTCCGTCCAGGTGAGAGCTCTCAAGTTACTTGTTCTTCTTCTCGCTCAAGAGTGATCGATCGTTTTTTTCTTGTGGATAGATTCTTTCATGGCTCGTCGAGAAAAAACCCATCGAGGTGACCGAAGGAGACTACGAGCAGCTGGTCACCTTGGCTTGCCGCGACTCGGACTATGAAACCGCAGAGAGGTATTTCTATAGTCTCCCGAGTCACTTGAGCAAGTGGCCAGCGTTTTCGGCGCTCGTCGCCGGCTACGCATCCAGGAACTTGATGGCAAAGGCCGAGAACTTGATGAGAACGGGGACCTCGCCTCTGCCGCAGCCATACTCGGCGATGATTCTCATGTACATCCGGAGGGCCGAGTACCAGAAGATCGTCAAGATCTACAAGAGTATGAAGGCGGACGGGATAGAGCCCAACGTGATAACTTACACGGTGCTGCTGAAGTTCAAGGACAGGATCGGCCCGATCAAAGGACTGGAACAAGACGTTGAGGACGCGCTGGGAAAGATCAAGCTCAGTGAGATGTGCGCTGCGAAGAGGCCAGCGATTGCCGGGAACATGATGCACTGCTACGCGATGCTTGGGAAGCTGGACAAAGTGGAAGAAGTGTGGCAGCAAATGGACCAAGAGCGTCGGCTCCCAGAAGGTTTTTTCGTCATGGCAATTGAGTCTCTCGCGCTACTGGGACAAGTGACCAAAGCTGAGAAGGTTGCACAGATGAAACCAACCGCGAACGTCCAGGCTCGGCTCTTACAGGCACTGGCTCGTCACTTCGCCAAGCAAGGAAACATGAAGAGAGTGGAGGAAATGCTGGGTCGTGCCGACAGATATGAGCTGACACCATCTTTCGGGATTTACAACTATCTCGTCACCGGGTACTTGGCCAGGAAGGACCCCCAGACTGCGGCCTCGAGGATGAGATTGGCGTTGAAAGTGGTGACCGAAGAGCGAGCAGTGCCATCTTATGCCGCTGTCACGGGATTGCTTCCATATCTAGCAGCGGAGAAAGACGTGACGACTGCCGAGCAAATGGTGCGGAGGTATAGAGGCTGGACGGATGACAACTTCCACAAGCTGCTGCTTAATGTCTACGTAGAAGCTGGGAAAGGACCGTCTCCGGACATAAAGTCGAGGTTCAGGCGCCTTCCCTGCGTTGGTCACGTTGAAGCCAGGCGGCTGGCTATCAGGGCCTTCGCGTTAGAACCATAGCCATTGCTGCGGTGACACTACGACTACTGGTAACTATACCCATCTCTCTTTTGCCGGCTGGTCCTGACTCTTTTGTTCAAATCCAGGAGTACTTTTCTTCTCTTCGCGACGTCAAACGGACCTCCTCGTAGCTGCGGTTATGCAAGTTCTTATTGAGACGAATGGCCGAGGTCTACAAAACCGAGCAAACCAGCTTGGCTTGGCTGAAGTGATCATCATACAAGCGGCTGCCGATAAGATTTCAAGGAGAAGAGAGCTGTACAGGGAGCTAGAGCTGGCCCGTCCCGAGTGGACGTCTGGATCTGTCCCCCGAGGCCCACGCACGGTAGTCCTTTTCAAGCTGCAAGGCATCAAACACAGTTTTACGAAGATGAGAGAATCTGGACAGCACCTGGCTCAAAAATCGAGGAAGCATGACGCGCAGGACTTGGCCGAGCACTTGGTTCCCGGTCGATTCTATCGCTTGGACTGGAATAGCTCGAAAGGCAAAAGGCACCTCTATCGTCACCTGCGAGGATATATCATCAAGCCGGGACTTGCAGCGAGCAACTTTACCTCGATGGTTGCATCCGAGATGAGCTTCCGGGTCTTCGGTGATCTGCCGCTGTTCTTCCACGACACTCTATTCTCCATGGACGCTGGAGCACAGCCGAGAGTTACTGACAGGGCCGGGAAGAAATAACGAAGATGCTACCATCATACCTGAGAACTTTTGGTTCTGCGCGACTACTATCGGAGAACCTTCGAGCTGATGAGGATCGGGGTGTTTAGAATTCGACCGTGGGGAGCAGCAGAGAGTCTACTTACAGTGCATGACAAGAGCTTGATGATGCAACCATCGGGCTGTTCTTCGACGGTGACAACGAGCACCGGACAAACTTCGAAGGCGAAGAACTTGAGCTTGTGGACGTAGCACTTGAAGGTATTGTCGTCCACTCTCTCGATACTCATTCCTTTGAGCTCCTCTCGAAGAAATCGGTGCTGCAAGTGTGATCCTGGGTTCGAGAAGAGCGATCTGGAGGCTGACCTCCTGGAGAACTATTTCGCGGGCAAAGCCTTCCTGATTTCCAAGAACGATGAGAAGCCCGTCGATAATGTGGCCCTGTCAGGCTTCACGCCTTCCAGATCAGACCTGGGACGCTTCCCCCTCGCGATCCTTCCAGCGCCGTGACGAGCATCGTCCAGATTTTGTTGGAACTCGACCATCGCGGCGCAGGGCATCGGATGATGCGCCGCGCGCCACGACTGGATCCAATCCCTCGCGCTGGAGAAACACTTCGCATTAGTTAGTAACGAAGATCTGACGGCTGCGGATGTTCCTGATTGTATCCGGTGTAATAAATTGCCATCTGAAATAGACATGACCTAGGGTTACAACAGGATGGAGGAGATGGGGGAGATGGGGGAGACGGCGATGTATGCGCGTACGACGAAGATCTCTCCTGGATGTGCGATCATGTTATGTAATTGGCGTCCTGTGATTCCGGCGGTCATAAATCACAACAGCGGTTTGGAAGGTTTCGATTCAGGTATTAAATCGTGGATTCTCTTGGATCCTGGCCAGAGGCGTCTTCGTCATTATACCATCACAGGAGGAGGAGAAAAGAGGGCAAGAGAGGAGGCAGAAAAGAGTGAGGCTGGTGGAAAGAGGCCAAGAATCAAGGTGCCAGCGGCAGGCAAGGCTCCAAGAATTGAGGTGGCAGTAGAAAAGAGTGTCGAGGCACTAGCATCGGCAAGCAAGACTCTTGACGAGTAGGTGTTGTTGCTTTCAGATGGCTCTTTGCATCTATCAGGTGGGATAGTGGATAGAAAAGCATCTGTGATGTAACTGATGGATGCGAAGCAGTATATGTGGGACACTCTCCAGGGTCTTACCAAGCAACAGCTGCCATGTCACTTCATAGCACAGCAGGAGGCCGAAGGAGAGTTCTAAAGCCTCGTTATTCATCTGAATTCACTGCAAAAACAAGTGAATGAGATTCAACCTTGTCTCCAAGTGCTAGAGGATTGGATAGGATATTCGAAGCCTGAACTCTACGAGGTACTGGGGATCAATCGGTTCACTGCAGCTGCTGAGATTTTGGATGTTGCGGCAAGCTTCCTTTCTTACTTCACAAGGGAAGCCATACAGAAGTAGGGAGTTCTTGACGAGCTGGTGGACTACGGGCCTACAAGGCCTAGGAAGTTGAAGCCATACAACTCCTATGACAAATCTGCCATAACTTACAGAAGCTTGTGGTGGTTTGTTTTTAACAAGGAGGCGAGTGGGAAATCTCTAAGTGAGGTATGGCATAATTTTGAGATTCAGGGATAAGTACTTCCCCCTGATTGGGATCGGAAGCGAAGTTCAACACGCAAGGAAGGTATGCATGTCATCTATAAATAGGTTATTCAAGCCGTTGAGGAGGAGTTGGTCAAAGACATAAGTTTTTGCCAACAGTAATGCGACATCAGGAAATGTATGGGGTTTTACTTGTCGTGCATCAATAGGAAGTCTATTCAAGAGTGTCCAGGATCCCCATTGTGTGCACTCCAACGTTCTGCCTCGGCTTGATGCATGACAAGTAAAACCCTATACATTTCCTGATGTCGCACTACTGTTAGCAGGAACTCATGTTTTTGACCAGCTCCTCCTTAACAGCTTGGATAACCCGTTTACAGATGACATGCATACCTTCCTTGCATGCTGAACTTCACTTCCGATCCCAATCAGGGGGAAGTACCTGTCTCTGAATCTCAAAATCATGCCATACCTCACTTAGAGATTTCCCGTTCGCCTCCTTGTTGAAAATAAACCACCACAAACTTTTGTAAGTTATGGCAGGTTTGTCATAGGAGCTGTATGGCTTCAACTTCCTAAGTCCTGTAGGCCCGTAGTCCACCAGCTCGTCAAGAATTCTTTGCTTCTATATAGCTTCCTTTGTGAAGTAAGAAAGGAAGCTTGCCGCAACGTTCAAAATCTCAACAGCTGCAGTGAACTGATTGATCCCTAATACCTCGTAGAGTCTAGGCTTCAAATATCTTATCCAATCCTCTAGCACTTGGAGACGAGGTTGAATCTCATTTAGCACTTGGAGATGAGGTTAAATCTCATTCACCTATTTTTGCAGTGAATCCAGGCGAATAACAAAGCTTTGGAACTCCTCCGGCCTCTTGCTGTGCTATGAAGTGACCTGGCAGCTGTTACTTGGTAAGACCCTGGAGAGTGTCCCACATATACTACTTCGCATCCATCAGTTGCATCACATATGCTTTCTTATCCACTATCTGAGGTGGAACACTAGAGTGCACACAATGAGGATCCTGGACACTCTTGAATGGGCTTCCTCTTCCTCGACTACTGCAACCTTCTCAGTGGATAGGTCGGACATACAGTTGAAGAAGATGGAGATGTCAGAGCTCCAGCATAAGATTCATGTCTTGTTCGATATTCATGGTCATGCTCACACTATTCCGGAGTTCAAGTATATCGCTAACACTTTCTACCCTCTGCTTAACTGGTACGCAATGAAGCTGGGGATCAAAGTGTTTGAGATCTACAGCAGGAACAAGTTGGTGGATGAAGATGCAAGTGTCACTTATGAGTTTGTGGAGGGGAAGTGGATGAGAGATGGCCTTCAAGATTAGCATTGGTCTCTCCTATCTTGGTACAGCATGTGGGAGTGAGCGATAGACTGTGTTGACTGAAAGTAAGTACTTGATTCTTGAACGAACGTCTGTTGTTCTGACGAGTTTTTTGTGTTGTTGGACAAAGTGGAAGAAGTGTGGCAGCAAATGGACCAAGAGCTTCGGCTCCCAGAAGGTTTCTTCGTCATGACAATTGAGTCTCTCGCGCTACTGGGACAAGTGACCAAAGCTGACCGCAAACGTCCAGGCTCGGCTCTTACAAGCACTGGCTCGTCACTTCGCCAAGCAAGGAAACATGAAGAGAGTGGAGGAAATGCTGGGCCTTGCCGATAGATACGAGCTGACACCATCTTTCGGGATTTACAACTATCTCGTCACTGGGTACTTGGCCAGGAAGGACCCCCAGACGGCGGCCTCGAGGATGAGATTGGCGTTGAAAGTGGTGACCGAAGAGCGAGCAGTGCCATCTTATGCCGCTGTCACGGGATTGCTTCCATATCTAGCAGTGGAGAAAGACGTGACGACTGCCGAGCAAATGGTGCGGAGGTATAGAGGCTGGACGGATGACAACTTCCACAAGCTGCTGCTTAATGTCTACGTAGAAGCTGGGAAAGGACCGTCTCCGGACATAAAGTCGAGGTTCAGGCGCCTTCCCTGCGTTGGTCACGTTGAAGCCAGGCGGCTGGCTATCAAGGCCTTCGCGTTAGATCCATAGCGATTGCTGCGGTGACACTACGACTACTGGTAACTATACCCGTCTCTCTTTTGCCGGCTGGTCCTGACTCTTTTGTTCAAATCCAGGAGTACTTTTCTTCTCTTCGCGACGTCAAACGGACCTCCTCGTAGCTGCGGTTATGCAAGTTCTTATTGAGACGAATGGCCGAGGTCTACAAAACCGAGCAAACCAGCTTGGCTTGGCTGAAGTGATCATCATACAAGCGGCTGCCGATAAGATTTCAAGGAGAAGAGAGCTGTACAGGGAGCTAGAGCTGGCCCGTCCCGAGTGGACGTCTGGATCTGTCCCCCGAGGCCCACGCACGGTAGTCCTTTTCAAGCTGCAAGGCATCAAACACAGTTTTACGAAGATGAGAGAATCTGGACAGCACCTGGCTCAAAAATCGAGGAAGCATGACGCGCAGGACTTGGCCGAGCACTTGGTTCCCGGTCGATTCTATAGCTTGGACTGGAATAGCTCGAAAGGCAAAAGGCACCTCTATCGTCACCTGCGAGGATATATCATCAAGCCGGGACTTGCAGCGAGCAACTTTACCTCGATGGTTGCATCCGAGATGAGCTTCCGGGACTTCGGTGATCTGCCGCTGTTCTTCCACGACACTCTATTCTCCATGGACGCTGGAGCACAGCAGCCAGTTACTGACAGGGCCGGGGAGAAAGAACGAAGATGCTACCATCATACCTGAGAACTTTTGGTTCTGCGCGACTACTATTGGAGAACCTTCGAGCTGATGAGGATCGGGGTGTTTAGAATTCGACCGTGGGGAGCAGCAGAGAGTCTACTTACAGTGCATGACAAGAGCTTGATGATGCAACCATCGGGCTGTTCTTCGACGGTGACAACGAGCACCGGACAAACTTCGAAGGCGAAGAACTTGAGCTTGTGGACGTAGCACTTGAAGGTATTGTCGTCCACTCTCTCGATACGCTGCGCATCTAACACCGAGTACTGGCTTGCAGGAAGACTCATATACTCGGCTGGGAAGAACGAAGAACAAGAAGGAAAAAAAGATGAGAGGCTTGCCAGGCATGGACATTCTTCGCCGAGTACCTAGAGGGCGATGGGTCTCCTCGAGAAGGTAACTCTCGCTCGCTCGCCCGACTAACCTTGCCCGTGGCTCTGATCTCCCGAGATCGCCAGGGACGTCGACCGCTGCCGCGATTCTCCCGTGCTGCCGCTGCCGCTTCCTCCTCCGCGATGCAAAGCTTGGAGGACCCAGCTTGAGCGCTTCCAATCCAGGCTTTTCGGGAGAAGACAAGGCAATGTGATGGTGGCTCCGAGACTCCAGGGAGGAGAAGAGGCTCCAGCACGCCATGCCCTTCGTGGATTTGCTGGAGAGTTCGATACCTCTGAGAGTTTTAATGGTAAAAAGTTAAAAGTTAAAAAGTAGAAAGGTTTAGGATGAATGTTTACCTTTTAGCAAAATAGAATTGTCCCTGGAATATTCTTGACGAAAACTGGGCTTATAAACCCTAAAATATATTTGCGCGATGATGGAAGAGCTCCAATCGTGGCTGCGAATTCACATCGCCGTCCACGACCTTTGCGGCTTGCGCGGCTTCGATCTTAGGGTTTTTGAGAGGCAAGGAGTTCCAGCAGCGATCTTCTCTCGTCAGCGCCTTCATCCGCGGCTATCCACAGCGATCTAGGACGATCAACAAAATGTAGGTGCGAACTAGCAATCTAGGATGATCCACAGGAGGATGGAGGCAAGGTCGTGGATTCTGGCGCTAGTAGACGTGAGAATCTAGCCTTGGACGGGGAATCGCCACCAGAGGTTGAGTCTTTTGGCACACCAATCCAAAAGTCTCAGCCATATCCAGCTTTGCAGGATCTTGGTCGAGCTCCCAGTCAAATCCTTGGACAAGCGTCGCCACTCCAATCCGGACAGTATCAAGGCCGAGCTTGGCGCCGGGGCAGACTCTCCTCCCAGTTCCAAATGGAACGAAGTGGAAGTTTTGGCCAAACACGTCGATGTCCTGCTCGATGAATCGCTGTGGCCGGAACTCCAGAGGCTCTTTCCAGAACTTCTCGTCCATCCCGATCGCGTAGCTGCTCAGGTAGACCAAGGCCCCGGCTGGGATCGTGAAGCCACCGAGCTTGATCGGCCCTCCTTCGACGAGCTTGGGATTGATGAGCGGCGTCACTTGGTGCAGCCTCAGTGTCTCCTTGGCTATGGCCTCCACGTATCGAAGCTTGGGCAGGTCCGAGTCCTCCACAAGCCTTTGCGACCCGACAACGTCGTCGATCTCGCGTCGAGCTCTCGAGAGCTCGGCTGGATGGCGGAGAAGTTCCGCCATGGCCCATTCTACCGAGAGAGCCGAGCTATCAACTGCGCCAAGCAAGATATCCTGCGTGATCTAGCGTCAGGGAGGAGAAATCCAAGAGGAGGAGAACACTTACGAGCAAAAGCGTGATCTTGGTCGTGTCCGAGAGCTCGTCCATGGAGATGAGCACGTCGATGAACGCCATGGGCTCCTCGTCGGTGGTGACAACCCGAGGATTCTCTCGCCGGTCTCGCAAGATGGAGAAGAGGTGGCGATTCAGCTTGTCCGTGAGCTGCTTGTACTGCTTCTCCAGGCCCTGGACGTCCAGCCACCGTAGCCAGGGGATGTAATCGCTCACGTTGAAGATCCCGACCAACCTTATTGTCTCGACGATGGCTCGCACGAATTCCTGGCTGGATCCACAGAAGGAGCGCTCGCCGAAGAGCCTGTAAGCTATGATGCTTATGTTGAAGTCGTGGAACTTTTCGCGCAGGAGCACCGGATTTCCCTGCTCGTTGCGGATGGATCGAGCGAGGCGGCCCGGCGAATCCCATCGCAGATCCTCAGCCGCGCCGGCGATAGCAAGTGAGTGTTGATGAGTTTCCTGTAGAGCTTCACCTGTGGAGTGTAGGAACTGAAGATTATGCCGCTGGAATCGTTGCCAAAGTACTTGCTACAGATCAGCGAAGGTTTCGACGAACACTGGAGGCTGTGGAGCTTGAATATCTCGCTGGCTGCTCGCGCGGAGCTGATGATCACGGCGGAGACCCTGCCGAGCTTCGGGTGCATGACGTCGCCGTGCTTGCGAGAGAGCTTTTGAAGGGAGATGTGAGGGAGCGAGCCGAGCCTGTGGAGGCTGCCAATGACGGGGAGATTGAAGGGGCCGGGAGGGAGACGATCTCCATCGCGTCTTCTTCCTCTTCTAGAGCCAGCGAAGTACAAGAGGGGCATCAAAGCGACCAGCATCAAGGCACACAAAGTTGCAAGATCCATAGCTTGGAAGAACACAAATTTTTGGTGAATCTGGAAGAACACACTCTAGCTTAAACTGTCCAGAGTGATAGATTTCTCACTGGCTTTGCATCATTGGAAAGTACTGTTTCCTACCACACGGTATCAAAAAAAATCTAGAGCTTTGACTAGAGCAGTCAACTCTAGTCCAATAGTGGTCAACGTAAGTTATCGCACGGTCTGGATGATTTTCGCAGCTCCCAAGATCGTGAAAACTTGCTGTGGAACACCCAGCTAACACTCGAGAACAAGTGTACGTAAGCTCCAGCATCCTTGGAGCTGCGCAGCTCAAACAGCTTCTCGATCGCGAGCGATGCCAGATCCCTGTTCTTGTGAGCCTTGCAAGCAGCGGCCGCCAAGCACGTCCACTCCATCGCGTCTGGCTCGAAAGGCATGCTCTCGATCAGCTCCGCGGCATCGCCCAGGAACCCGGCTCGAGCGATGAGATCGACCAAGCAGCAGTAGTGGAACTTGGTAGCATCCAGACCGTGGTCGACTCGCATCGAACGAAACAGGGATCGGCCAGTGTAAGCGTCTCCACCATAGCTGCAAGCCACCAGGACACTGACGAAGCTCGTCTCATCGGGAGAGCACTGCCAGCAGCACCTCATCCATCCAAAACTCTCGAGTGCTCGATCGGGATGCCCGTTCTGGGCGTAGGAAGCGAGCACAACGTTCCACGAGACCAAGTCGTGCTCTTCGGCCGTGTCAAACAGGCTCCTCACTCGCTGGAGATGCCCGTTCTTGGCATAAGCGACGAGCATAGAGTTCCAAGACACCATGTTTCTCTCTGGCATCGTTTCAAAAACCTGTCTTGCTTCGTCAACGTAGCCGTCGAGAGCGTAAGCGCAGAGAATCGCTGTCCAGGAGACGAGATCCTTCCTCTCCATCCCATCAAAGAACTCTTTTGCGAGCTCCAACCTTCCGTGACGAACATACGCGGAGAGAAGAACGTTCCAGGAGAACAGATCCCACTCTGGAAACCAATCCAACAAGATCCTTGCCTGCTCGAGATCTCCCTTGGAAGCATAGGCCGAGAGCAGCGACGTCCAGGAAACGATGTTAGTCTCTTCCATCTCATCGAAGACGGTTCTCGCGTCGTTGAGTCGGCCGTGCCGGACGTAGCCCGATAGCATCGTCGAGCACGAAACGATATCTCTCTCCGGAACACCGTGAAACAGCTTCTCTGCTTCTTCCAGATGATCGTTCTCGGTGTTTGCAGCGAGCATCGCCGACCAGGAAACTAAATCCCGCTCCGGCATCTGGATGAAGCAAGCTCTAGCTTCGTCGATGCAGTTCTTCTTCGCGTAAGTCACCACCATGCTCGTCCAGGAAATCAAGTTCCTCTCTGGCATTGAATCGAAGATGTTCTTGGCCTCGCCGACAAGTCCTCGCTGAGCATAAGCCGCGAGAAGGGCGTTCCAGGAAACCATGTTTCTCTCTTGCATGGAATCAAACACTTGCTTTGCTTCGTCCAGATGCCCGTTGCGAGAATAAGCTGTGAGCATTGCCGTCCAGGCATACAAGTCCCACTGTTCCATGGCGTCAAAGATCTGCTTCGCTTGTAGCAGCTGCCCCGTCTGGGCATAAGTCGACAGCATCACCACCCAAGAGCAAACGTCCTTGCAAGTGATCGTTTGGAAGAACTCCCAGGCTTCTTCAAGGCTGCCGAGCTTGGCATATTTCTGGAGGAGCTTGTTCGAAAGGTGCGTGTCACTGCTTAGAAGGTGGCGTAATCGAGAGCGAACCTGGCGTGTCATCGAAAGGCTTGTGCACGAATCTATCAACGCGACGGGATTGATCAACGCCAACTTGGCAGCGTTCATCATCTTCCTGAGAAATAAAAATCAAAATCGTCAGTAAACCATGAGAAGTTTGCTAGTAAAGAACTCGAACCTTTACGAGTCTCTAGCATTTCTTCTTGAGAATGTAAACATCAGCCTCCTCAAAAGCGTAGTCGGGATGGAGCTGGGAACGATCGACTTTGTCGACGGCGAATCTCTCTGGACAAAGCCTCCAAAACAACTCGTGAGCCTCAGGTGATCTCACCTGGTATCCCAAAAGAATCAAACTGTCCGGCCCAGAGACATCGCCCATCGTTTGTAGCAAAGGCTCCACTCCATTCTCGATATATACCACATCCGCCGCGATCACCACGTCGAATGGAGGCTTCAAGCTCTCGATTTGTTGCTTGTTTCCCCAGTTAAGCTGTGCCACCTTCTCAAGAAAAAAGACAAGAAAATATGTGTTAGAACGAAGCCACGAGCAAAGACAACGAAAACAAAGAAAAGTAGAAATGAAAGATCACTAGAGAGAGCGAAGAACGAAGGAAATAAGTGTGTGATCCATCTAGAGAGGAAAAAATGCTATTGATCGATCGCTCATACCTTTACTTTCTTCTTGGAGGAGAGCGATGTCGCAAGGACATTCTTCTTCACATTCCTCTTGAGCGTGGAGAGAACCGGCGGCACATCCGTGAGCAGCACCTGGCCGAGGCCCAGCAACGCCAGCGCCAGGCCAGCGCCGCCACACCCAGCCCCGAGCTCAATCCCCCGCTTGCCCTGGATCCTCTCGCGAATCCCGCCCTGCCGCTCCGCCCATTTCGCCAGCACTAGCGAGCACGGCCACACCGTCGTCCCGACGTGCATCGATCCATTGTCCTGCTCCATGGCGATCTCCTCATCGCCGATCGCGAGCTTCACCACTGGCCACGACGAATATTTCATCGCATTCTCACAATAGCCCTAATAGTGACGTGTCATTCCATCCAATGTGGCTGCCACATATGCGCCACGTATGAAATAAGGATATACTAGAATATTCGTACGAAAAAGTATTTAAACTTGTAAAGCATTGGAGAGCATCACATAAGAGGTTGCTTGGGAGGTGTCAAACTCGAGAACTTTAGTGGCTGCGCAGCCACCCAAAAGTGAATCGCGCTGGACAGTGGAAGCTCCAAGCATGGCACCCCATGCCTCGAGATTTGGCTTGCAAGGCATAGAGTGGATCACATCCTTGGCATTTTGGAGCTCCCCGCATCGCCCAATGACGTCTACAATGCAGGCATAGTGTTCTTGAGATTGGATCACTCCAAAGTCGTGGTGCATCGAGGAGAAGAGCTGGATGCTTCGGGTGATCAGACCCAAGTGGTTGCAAACCGTGAGAAGGCTCAAAAATGCGACACTGTCTGGGATTGCGCCGCGCAAGTTGAGCTCGAGAAACACCTCTACAGCTTTTCTTGGGTGGCCATTCTGGGCATATGCTGCGAGCATTGCGTTCCAAGAGACAAGATCATGATCAAACATCGTGGCAAATGTTTTTTCTGCTTTTGCCAAGGCACCGGCTTGGACAAAAATTGTCAGCAATACGTTCCATGAAATGGTATCCCTTTCTGGCATTTCATAGAACATAGAGAGTGCTTCTTCAAAGTTTCCATTGCGTCCCAAACCGGCAACAATTATATTCCATGTCACCAAATCCCACCTTGGCATTTGGTTAAAGAGTTTTTGAGATTCATTGATGTGCCCAGAATGGGCATATGCCGCAATCATGGAATTCCATGCACCAGTGTCTCTGAATGGCATCTTTTCAAACATAATTCTTGCTTGCTCTAACAACATATTTCTTGCGTAAGCTTGTAACATTACAGTCCAAGTTACAAATGTTGGATCTTCTATTTGGTCGAAAATAATCTTTGCTGAATCAAGATCTCCTGCATCGGCATAAGCTTGAATCATGCTTGTACGTGCAACTACATCGGGTTCAGGCATCATGTCAAATATCCCTTTTGCTTTTCTAATGTTTGAAACTGTGACGTAAGACGCTAACATAGCATTCCATGATACATTATTCTTCTCCGGCATATTCTTAAACATCTCTTCTGCAGCATCTAAATGCCCTGATTTGGTACTTGCGGTAAGAATTGCGGTCCAAGTTATCACGTTCCAAACTGGTGCACTCTCAAACAATTTTTTTGCTTCCGTAAGGTTTCCATTTTGCGCATAGCCGTCAATCATGGCTGTCCAGGTAACCACATCTCTGTATGGCATTGCATCAAAAATAAACTTTGCTTGTTCCAAATGCCCAGTTTCGGCATATGCAACGAGCATGGTGGTAAAGGTTAAGATATTCTTTTCTTGCATTTTATCAAACAAAAACTTTGCCTTGTTAAGATGGCCATTAAGTATATAAGCCTGTATCATCGCGGTACATGATACCACAGTCACCTCTGCCATCTGCTGAAAGAGATTATTTGCCTTTTCAAAATGCCCAGTTGAGGCATATGCTGTGATGATAATCGTCCAGGAGACATCGTTTTTGTTCTTCATTTTTTCAAATATTTCTTGAGCTTGGATCAAATTGCCATTGTCTGCATAGGCAGAAATCATCGAATTCCAAGCAATTGTGTTTTGAACTGGCATTTGGGTGAAAGTCTCTAGCGCTTGTTCAAAATAGCCATTGCGGGTATACACTTGGATCATGATATTCCACGAGAAGAGATTGGGCTGAGGAATTCGATCGAATGCTGCTTTCGAGTCCTCGACACTTCCACATCTCCCATACATCTCCACCACCAGATTCGCCAAATACCTGTTGTGTCTATGCACACTCTCCAGGATTTGGGCATGAACTCTTCTACCCTCACTCAATTTTTTTGAAGTTCCACACTGCCGGAGGAGTACAGCAAAATGATCCTGCTCCACTCTATGTGAAGATTCTGACATATTTATACGGGTTAAAAGCGGATTTCTATGACTTTTACATATGTTTAAAAGAGTCGAATGGAAATAAATTTTAACACATGATCATCATATGATCATAGTGATGGCGCATAAAAATCTTCTCTCCAGACTGTAAAGATCCAATCGTGAGGTATGATTACACGTAAGGCAACCTTAGAGCCTTGCAATTCGTCTCGATTGTACTTCATAACAGGCTCAGAAGGACTCGGGATACCACCCTACAAAAATAAGCATAAAAAATGGTGCTCATAATGAACTACGTACCAGATACTGTAGAATCAGCGGCACGACTTTCTCTGGAATATTCTTGCCAACAATCGCAATAGTAAAGGCAGAAGGATCTTTAAAACAAGAATCAAAGAAAGCGCACGCCCTCGGAGGATCAACTTGGCGAAGATCTTTTACAGTAATGCAAGGAAATGTCCGTATTTGGAAGACGATGAGTAAACGCTTTGAAGTCATTGTTTGCAAGAGGATGCTTGTTCCTCTCCGCTGCAAATTTGGCACGAACTTCCTGAAATGGGATTTCACTAGGAGAATCCGCACGCAAGCTATAGCTGAATGGAAAGAGGTCGTCCTAAAGGATTCGACGATCACAAAAGCCTCTCATGATGACACATTCAAGAAAAAGACGACCTTCCAAAAAGAGATGTTAGAAACCATTCTTCATGAGCTTACGTCCAATGGTACTCTTATCAAACCCACAGAAACTCAAGAAACGCCTCTGCGAGACAGTATCTCCTACGATCTCCTAGAAGGATAGGCAGCGCTCGGTTCTGATAGGGAAGAGCAGGAGAGTGTCCAAAGTCAAAAAATTTGCTATTCTGATGCATTATCTCTTTTAAAGGCTTATTCTCAAAATACTAGGATCATATCGTATCCAATATAATTAGTTGTAAATCTTTTCTTAAACCTTATATAACTTGTGGCATTGTTTTAAAAGAGAGCTTGATGTGAGGGTTTTGGTGGAAAAATGACGTCTCTCTTCATCTTATTTGTGTTCCTAGCTTTGTCAACGGTTATTGCTGTAAGAAATTTCCTTACATGTTCATTATCTTATACATTGATTTGTAGGTTGAGGATAGTCGCGTTTATATCGTACATTTGGGCCATAGTGATGGAACAAAACATCCAGATGCTATTACCGACACACATAATTCATTGCTTGCCACAGTTCTAAACCAGTAAGAATTTGTTTATCTTTGTTAGTAAATTATTTCTTTTTCATTTTTTTACAGACCAAGTTATGAAGCGAGAGATCATATTATTTACAGTTACAAACACACTATTGATGGATTTGCTGTCAGGTTTACCACCAAGCAAGCAAAACACATGTCTGGTAACAATATCACTTCTATTAAATCTTATATTTTTATTTTGTCTCTTTTAAATGCAGAGCTTCCTGATGTTGTGTCTATTCATGAAAATCACGTCCGTAAGCTTCACACTACTCGCTCTTGGGATTACATGGGGGTGAGTGGAAGTACAAATATGCCTCTATTTTCTAGCAGCAAACCTCTATGGGAACTAGGAGAATATGGAAAAAATGTGATAGTTGGGATATTAGACACAGGGGTTTGGCCAGAATCTCCAAGCTTTAACGACGATGGTATGGGCGAAATCCCCAGTAAGTGGCGAGGGATATGTCAAGAAGGAGATGCCTTCAACTCTTCACACTGCAACAGGCAAGTATCGTAGTAACAAAGTTTGCTGATAACAAATCTCTCAAATATATACAGGAAGTTGATTGGAGCACGCTACCATTTGAGAGGGTATTTGGAGGGGTTGTCAAAGAAAGAGAACAAGGTTCCAGGAATCTTATCTGCAAGAGATGACGACGGCCATGGGACACACACAGCTTCCACTCTCGCAGGCAGATTGGTCCAAAACGCCTCAGTTGTGGGGAGATTTGCCCAGGGAACTGCGGCAGGAGGAGTTCCAGGGGCGAGGCTTGCAGCATACAAAGCTTGCTGGGGGGGAGACGATGGGTATTGCCATGAGAGTGATTTGATTGCTGCGATGGATCAAGCAGTGCACGATGGAGTGGACGTTATATCAATGTCTAATGGAGGTGAGGAATATGTTAATGACGTGGTAGCTCTTGCTGCTCTTTCCGCGGTCAAGAAAGGTGTCACCGTTGTGGCTTCTGCTGGAAACGAAGGCGTCAAAGGAATGGGCAATAGTGACCCATGGTTCATCACAGTTGGTGCTAGTAGTATGGATCGATGGGGATCAGCTCGATTGTCTTTAGGCAATGGCATGACTTTCACGGTTTGTTTCTCTTTTGTGTCCATGGCTGCTTTGTTTGCTAACTCTTTCTGTGTCTAGGGTAAATCCAGACTTTCCATTGGTACAGAGAGCTTTCTTCCACTTGTTCCGGGTTATGAAGCAAACGCACCAGAGTCTACCACACAAGACAGGTTTGAAAATTTCATTATCAAATTAATCCTGCAAAGTTTAATAAGTGTTTCTTGTTTCAGCTTGTACTGCATGGATTATTCTTTGGACCGTGAGAAGGTCCAGGGGAAAATTGTCCTGTGCATGCGAAAGCGTGGTAAAGATATCCTTGCTCAAAGCTCTGAGGTGAGGGATGCTGGTGGTGCCGGCATGATCTTGTATGAAGATGTTAAAAACGAGCAAGAGCTGATGGATGATTGGCATTACGTGCCCTCTATACACATCTCAGCAAAGGATGCTCTCGCAGTATTTTCGTATATGAATTCTTCAAGGTTTGATATGGCTACAATTTCAAAATGTGATTGCTAATTTTTATGTTTTTGTTTTCTAGCAATCCACGAGCATATATTTCTGGATCAGATACAAATTATGGTGCCAAAGATGCTCCTGCCATGTCTAACTTTTCATCTAGAGGCCCTAGCAAGGTTTATCCAGATATTATCAAGGTAATCAGATATTACTTTTTCTCTAATAATAAAAAAACTGGTGATTTGCAGCCGGACATCACAGCACCTGGTGTTGATATTTTAGCAGCATGGCCTCCAAATGTGGATCTGGATGAAGGCAGAGGACGTGGAAATTTCAACTTCCAGTCTGGAACTTCAATGTCATGCCCTCATGTTGCTGGTGTGGCTGCACTCTTAAAATCATACCACCAAGATTGGAGCCCTGCTGCAATTAAATCTGCAATATTAACAACAGGTAAGGTGGTACTTTTAATCAATCACTAAGATAGATCCTTATCATTTGTATATCCCAGCTTATATTGGTAATGGGCTCGCGAATGGAACACCAAATGATTTTGGAAGCGGTCATATCAATCCAAACGCGGCAGCACATCCGGGTCTGATATACGATCTTGACTACAACAAAATCCCAGTGAAAGCTTTTGGCGCCAACAAGATCCTGAGCAACCTCAACTTTCCGTCGGTAGGAATCTCCCGGTTCCACACGAAATACACCGTGAAGAGGACTGTGACAAATGTCGGAGACGATCGAGCAACGTACCGCGTGACCATCGATCCTCCTCCGGGGATTGCTGTCACGATTACTCCACAAGTTTTGGAGTTCACTCGCAAAGGGCAATCCCAATCGTTTCTAGTGAATCTGAGGCTCAAGACGAAGGTGGCGAAGAGCAAGCTCCATCGCGGATATATATTTGGCTCCTTTACGTGGAAGGATGAGAGGCACACAGTGAGAAGCCCAATTGCCGTGCGCTACGCATAGTTTATCACAAACAAGATCACAGAAGCCTGGCTTCCAAAAAAATTTCTTTCCAAATTTCTGTGAGATTCTCCTACCTCGATCTTAAATCCTCCAAGTATGCGTGTAGCTTTGCCTGAAACTCCTTGCTCTTCTCAAAGTTCTTCTTCCGCTTGACGGCTTTCTGCCAGAAACAAATTGGAAACCATGGCAGGCCATTCGAGCGTCAAAAAATTAAAGACACAAACCTCTTCTTGCAAGCAGCGCACCAGCTCGAGCTTGAGATCGTTGCATTTCCCCCAAAACTTGGCCGCGGGGTGATCTTCGTGGCAGCGCAGGAACAATGTGATGATCTGAGGAAGAAAAACCCTATGGGCTGATCGAATCGATTCGTGTATCGCTCACCTCGGTGCAGAGGGGATGCTTGTGAAGAACGAGTGGAGGATGCATTTGCTCACGAGCCCTAATTCGCCCACACGAAATTAACGTGAGCCGTTGGATGTAAATACAGAATATCCTAGAATTTTCTCACGACACTTGGTTTTTTCTGGATGTTAGAGCGATTAGAGACATTTGATCAGTAAAAAAAACTACCAGGTAAGAGAGTGTGGATATATGTGCTCCAATTTAGCACGAAGCTTTGGATTCTTGAAGAAGCAGACGAGGAAAAGGTTGATTTTTTCGTACTGAGGCTCACACTTTCGAGGCAAAGAACTGTGGTAGCGCAAGAGCACGGTGATAATCTGAGAGATCGGAGTAAGAAGCTGGTAAGATCAACTCAAAGTCGCTTACCTCGGCGCACTGCCGTTGATTGTATGGGACGGGAATCATCACATATCATTTTAGAGAACCCGTAGCTCTGCTAAGAACATGGAGCAGAAATCCAGAAATGTGAAGAACGGGCCCTCGAGCTTTTGCAGATCCAGCAGGTATTTCTCTTCGTGCATCTTATAAAGCTACGAGATACCAGTCCAAGTTAGCATCGAACTCCAAAAAGACTTTCACTTACTTGGAGCTCGAACTTGACAAGATTTCGTCGACCCTGTTCCACAATGTCCGCAGCAGCAGTAGCAGCAGCGACAGCAATGCGCTCGTGCAATGGCTCTGAGATCATTGGAGATCCAGGCAAGCTGCAGGGAGCTTTCGATGGTGGAGCAAACGTCCACCGGCACTTTACGTTGTAGTGACCGAGCTTCTTCCAGCTTACGTCCAGTTCTTGCAATACCTTAAGTACCTCGTTCATTATCTCTCTCGGATGCGCTCGAGACTGTCCACCAAGGAAAAGAAATAAAATCAATGGACATTCGAGAGAAAAGATTACCTGCAATCCCAGAGCCCAGCGTCTCTCGGCTTGAAGACGTGGAACTTCGAGCAAAGGTGAAGTAGTAGAATGCACACGGCCCATTTGCCGGGATTGAGGGGCAAAAGACTGCGGGAACGCTCTCGCCACATCCTATGTTCCAGCAACATGCTTGGTGATATCCACTTTTTACACGACTGCGACTTACCTGAACTTCCGAAAGCTCGTTGCCATTGCCTCCAGTGCGCTTTCTATTGTCCAGCATGAGATAATACGTAACAGTTGCCTGGGAAGTCGAAGGAAATATTAGAATCCATGCGCACACAAAAAAAATATAGCATGTACTCACTGGATTTTGCACTCGGTTGCGAAGAGAATCTATAAGTTGACCCTTTTCAAATCCCAGCCTTGCAACTTCATTTGCGATATCTTCATCAATCTGTGCGACACCAAGTGCAGGTACTTTCAATCTTTACACACAAGTGGCAACTTTACCCGCTTGGCTTGTTCGGCCGAGTCCAAGGGTGGTACGGCAAGATACCGAGGAAGATTAACTTGAAACCACGGGTGTTCACGAATCTCCGCAACTGTCATCCGCTTCATCGGATCAACCAGCAACATTCGCGGGATTAAGTCTTTCGCACCAGAAGAGAGATGACTTGGAAGTGTGTAGATGCCACCCTGGGAATAAACAAGAAAAGAAAAAACATTTAAGACTTCTTGTTGTCTGACTGATTCACCTTGATTTTCTTGAATAGATTTGGAATGTTTTCGTCGTCAAAGGGAAGGCTGCCACAGAGAAGTGCGTATAGTATCACCCCACAGCTCCATACGTCTACTTCTGGTCCAGCATAGAGCTTACCGGAAATCACCTGTGATTGAGAAAGACAACTTAGAATGACGAGCCTATAACAAAACTTATACTGATATACTGACCTCTGGAGCAGCATAGTTCGGACTTCCACAGCTTGTTTTCAGAAAGTGTCCGTCTCGCATAATGTTGCTCAGGCCAAAATCCGCTATCTTGACACTGCATTTGGAGCCGAGAAGCAAATTCTCTGGCTTGAGGTCACGATGAACGACCATGTTTCTATGACAGTACTCAACACCCGAGATAATCTATACCACCAGCAAGACTAGCATGTCAAAAACACGATCCATAAACACACACTCAATGCAAAGAAAAAAACGAGACATTTTTTTCTCGTACCTGCTGGAAGAAACAACGAGCTTCGTCTTCCTGGAGTCGACCATTCTCAACAATGTAGTCGAAGAGCTCCCCCGACTTGACAAACTCCATCACCACGAAAATATCGGTGCTCGTCTCCACAACTTCATACAGCCTGATGATGTGAGGATGCATGAACAGCCTCAATATCTTGATTTCTCTGCGCACTGCATCGATCGAAACACAGGAAATGAGAAAAAAGATATTTTTTCTCATACCTTTCTCTTCCATGTCCATGGCTCTAATCTTCCTCCGATTAAGAATCTTGATAGCAACCTTGTGGCCTGTGAGGACATGCTCCCCGATCTTCACCTTGCCAAACGAGCCAATTCCCAGCGTCTTCCCGAGCTTGTAATGGAGAAATTCGGTCCTCCTCGCGGATTGCTGTTGCTGCTGCTGATCCATCGCCTCCTCGCTGTGGATCGCCCAAGAACTAGCTAATCGAACTAGCTAATCGATCGCACGCATTCTGCGAGGAGAGGGCTCTTCAGCTGAAATCCCGCCCCTGGCGCTTCCACACGAGCCCCAAACCCTAGAAGAAACAAGAATATGCCACACCCATATCCGACGGCCGTGATGCCGCCACGCCGCCCATGATACAAACGCGAATATCCGGAGCGTACACTGGAGCCATTAATCGGATTTGAGGCGGCTTTGAGATCCGTGGAAGAATTTTTTTGAAAATTTGAATCTCCTGTCATTGCCCTTTGTTGTGTGTGCCGGAGAGGAAAGGAATGGCGCTGGGGCGCGCCCTTAGGAGGGACGCCGTGAGGATCCAGGCGATGGAGGCGCCGTGAGGCTGGATGCGCCGCGCGAGGTGAGGAAAAGGCTTTTGGCCGGGGGAGCGCCAGGTTTTTGGCGCCGGGGCTCCAAAACCCTCGATCGCCCCTGTCCCATCCTAGGTTAAGATTCCCGCTCGCAGCATCGGTGGAGCTGGGGCGCCGGGGCTGGATCTAGCAGAGGGGTTTTGGGATTTTCGAATAGCCGCCTTTTTCTTCGTGGGGAGATTCCAAGCTTTTTAGACGCATTAGGGGCCGGAGCTGGGGAATAGTGGGCGCAAAGAAACGATAGAGCCGACCATTTTAGAGGGCGACCATGCAGCTAAATGGGATTAAGGCCGACCAGTTTGACAAGGATGAGAAACCTGGTAAGTCCCTTTTGCTTTGTGTTTTCTTTTCACTGGTTCTTTGTCTTGGGAGAACAGTGATCCCAGCGCACCTTGATATGAATGGTAGCAGCCTCGTTACTATGCAAGGCCCGGGAAAGCTTCCACTCTACTCGAGCTCGAGGTACATAGTCTGTTGGGCTTCTTAGTTTCATTCTTGAGTTTTCTGGTTTTATTTTTCTTTTTCCTTCTTGGATAGATTGTCAAGAACATCGCAGGCGTTACCATCGTCACAAGTCCCGCCTGCTCAACCTGGAGAACCTGGTCGTAAGCCAGTTCGGCAGCTCAACTTTTCCTCCATGTGAGAGCATTTTGCCTTCTAGTTTTAAGACGATGGCTGATCCTAGTTCTTATAGACTACCAAGGCCGCCGGTCTACGAGCTCAAAGAAGTTGCGGCCAAGAAGTGCAAGCAGTGCAATTGTAAAAACACTCGGTGCTTGAAGCTGTAAGTTCATCTATTGCTTTCCGTCCTTTCTACAAGTACTGAAAGTGTTCTCCTTTTTTACACCAGGTATTGTGAGTGTTTTGCCTCTGGGACTTATTGTGATGGTTGCAATTGCCTTAACTGTTGCAATAACGTCGAGAACGAGGCAGTAAGACAAGAGGCAGTGGAGGTAACTTTGGAACGAAATCCAAATGCTTTCAGGCCTAAAATTGCAAACACGCAACATGCGATTCGCGACAGTGCGGTAAGTGCCTCGGGCATAGATTCAAATTCGTTTATAACTGGTTGTCTTACAGGACGACATGAGATTGGGAAAACATAACAAAGGATGCAACTGCAAAAAGTCTGGGTGCTTGAAGAAGTATTGCGAATGTTTTCAGGCCAACATTTTGTGCTCAGACAACTGCAAGTGTGTCGACTGCAAGAACTACGACAGCAGCGACGAGAGAAGAGCACTATATCAGCCAGATTACAGCCAAAGTACATACCACGGAGGACCACCTCCCTATACAACCTCTGCAACGGGCTCACTGGCCTGCGTCTCTTCTTCTCCCATGCCTGCAAAGAAGAGAAGGACAAGCGACCTTGTCTTTGTTGGCGAGAGTCTGAAAGTGCAGCAACCAATTTACAGAACGTTACAAGGAATCCAGGTACGGTATCGAGATTTTCAATCCTAATGCTTAAACGTGTTTTGCTGCAGGACGCAAAGCTTTCTGGTTCCATGCTCCCTCCAAACTCATCCCTTTCGGCAAAAACCATTCAAACGTATGACCGTTTTTCTTTTCCTTTTTTTCTTGGCATTAATTTATTCCTACGTTCCTTGCGTAGTTCTCTCTTGGCAGGCGTAGTACAACCAGAGACAGTTTCTGATCTTTGCAATCTTCTGGTCATGGCGTCCGCTGAGGCTGCTAAAGCGATGATCGGTAACACTATGTATGCAAGCTTGCAATGCACCGTTCTTATATCTTTCTTTGGCTTGCAGCCTCGGGCCCTGTCTCGAAGAGGCCTGCGGAAAATGGACAAGAGGCTGGCTCTGGACAGGGTGACGAAGATATCCGAGAAAAGCGACCAATGTCACCGGGAACACTAGCGCTGATGTGCGACGAGCAGGATCCACTCTTCACCCCGGCCACGCACGGGGACTACGACAAAGAGCTGGCTGCCGAGCAAGAGCGTCTCATTCTCGAAGAGTTTCGTGACTGCCTCCGGAAGATCATCACTGTCGGCAGGAAGCGAGGTACACTGCTGTTCTCACAAACTTTGGTTTTAAACTTTCCTTTTTCCATTTGCAGCCACTCTATTATCTACAGAAGCCGCAAGGAGTGAGCTTTTGGCAGCGACTCTTCAAAAGAATCGCGAGT